ACATGAAAATCTAAAAAAGCAAAATACTGAAGTTTGTGAGATGGAAGAATTCAAATGTAACCGTAGCTGTCTTAAATGCCTTTTGACTTTGGTAGAGAAAGAGAACATCAGGAAGGAAAACACATGATTAGAAGCTTAGAATTTCAAGCAGAAAGGAAGGATATTTACAGGATACATTCTGAACGTTTTCCTATTCTTACAAGCCTTATTTCAAAATTTTAGCAACTGTTATTATTGAAAACTGTTACATGGAGGTCTGAAAATGAGGTAATGGGTCTTTGGAGAATTGATTGCAGGATTTTTCATTCTAGACTATGAATATTATGATTGATAATATTTTTTGTATAGGTGCAGATTGTCTTCTTTGTTTTAGGGGACAGTTAATGTGGAACAACTATACAAAATAGCAAATAAGTTTATAATAATTTTAAGTTAAGAAATAGACCTAATTATTAGCTGTCATTTACCGTCATTTTGTTATCCCTCTCTACCAAATGCCATGGAGCTGAAGCTGAGCAAAGATATGGTCTTTTATATTTCCACAAGTGATTAATAACTCCTGGCCTGAAATTCTTATAAGTGATTTTATGTTTGAAATTTAATGCTGATGAAGTATCAGATGGTTTTGGTAATATGGTTTAATATGGCCGCTTCCCAATTATCAGCAGCTTTGAAGAGGCCAACTCCAGACATGGCTTTCTTTTCTCTCAGATGTTTTTCCTCTGTGTGGGTAGCTTATATTTCTCTATAAACAAGCAAGCAAGAAGAGCTCTTTTACTAATCTTTTGTTTCAGTTTTTTAAATAATGAAAGAATTTCACCGTTGGGGTAGAAAAGGTCTTTTTTAACAAGTATACCATAGACAATAAAGGGTTCACTATCCTGGGTCGTGTTGGGTCAGTGTGCTACTGTTATATGGAACAGACAGCCACCAATCCTTGCATTTTAAAGGAGATGCAAAAATGTGTACATTAGGAAGGATCAAACTTAAAGAAGCCTGGAAAAAAAGGAAGTGAAATGGAAAAAAAAAAAAAAATGAGAGGGAAGCTGGGGCAGGAAGGACCTCAAATAAGAAAACTAAATATGTAGTTACCTGGGAAAGGCAGCTAGCTTTCAGGATACTTTGTTACATATTAGAGGATGTGACTGGTGGTTTAGCAGCTTCACCAGCTGGTTTGCAGCAGCAGTCCATCCAAGGAAGTAAAACTAGTTATCTAGCTTCTCTGCCAGTTCATATTTAGGCTTGAAAGCAATTAATTGCAAGGAACTCAATTGCATTCAGTCAGTAATTTCCTTTGGACTCAGAGAAAACAAGAGAAACAGGATCAGAAATAGTCCACTGATTGTAAAATGCTGAACACACAGGATTTAATGTGGCAAATGCAATACTTCAAGCCTTCATCTGTATGAATATCAGATGACTGAGTTGAAAACTTTGGGGAAAAAAAAAAATCAAAGCAGTCATGGTCCTCAAAAGCAGTCCTTGATCTGTCTACAGAATACAACTTTTTTTTTGGAGTTTACATGGATGTTTGTTATAGCTACAGCATTTATACTGAGTAACTAAGGCTATGTCAGTCTTTCTATTCTGACCTTAGTTCAGCAACTTACTCCAAGCTGAAACTTACTGTACAGGAGCAAGATTTATTCTTTGCAATGCATCAAGAATAGGCTGTGCTTCTCTGCATGACAACAGCACATTCACCACTGTTTTTTTGGTACCATGTTGAGGGGTTTTTTTAAAATCTGAGTTTGGGTGTGACTCATTTTAAAATCAGCAATAATGTAAAGTATAAAAACAGTTTTTCCACATGAATCCTAGGAAAACAGTAAACAAATACTTAACAGCAAAAAGATGCAAAATAAAAGCACTGTTAGAAAAGAATGTCAGGGGTAGAGAGGGAAGAGGTTGGAACTGTGAGATTTGCCAAGAAACACTAACATTCATGATCTAGTCTAATTTCTTTCTCAGGCTGGACCCGCCAGCAAAGTGATTTTTCAGTCTAGAAGCATCTGTAGTCCATCTTGTTTTTCCTTCCCCACCATCAGCTTGACTGCAGGGTATTAGCATACAGTTATGTACAGTGCACTTCTATTATTACAACTGACATCTAGTAGGAGTAGCACTACTTTCTGCTTGCTCCTCCTCCAAATGCTGAGAAAACTCCCTCCTTTCTAGCTCTTCTTTCCTGATAAAAAGGCAAAGGGAAAATGCTTAGGAGGACAGAAACTTTTTCAAGTGCTCATCACTAGAATTCTAGAATAAATTCCTATATTTTACAAGTGCCTTGAGTGAATAGCCTTTTACAGCACTTTTGCAATGAAGAGAATACATCCTACAAGATATGACTCAGAACATTCTTGGAACGTAACACCTTCAGTTCTTTTTTTACTTAGGATTTGCCCATGGCAAAGGGATTGGAACTAGATGATTTTAAGGTCCCTTCTGACCTAAGCCATTCTGTGATTCTAAGAGTAATTGAAAAAAGGCTGATCATTTGTACTGTTGAAGAAAAAAATACCCCAAAGCTACAAACATTTTCCCACTTAAAAGTGTTTCTTTCTGCTTTCTAAGAAATAATTGTTTCAAAATACTTTAACAGCAGAGTATGCCTCTGATGTACAATTGTGAAAATAATAAAAGTTTACTGTCTGTATTCCTCCTTTTCACTCTGTCTATATATCAGTGGGTCTTTGGGTCAGTAGAAAACTGATGAGGCCAGCAGAAGATTTGAAGCTAATGTGATGCTATATTCTTAAAATCCTCTTCCTAATCATGTTCTTAGGAAAATGAGTTAAGCATAAAGAAGTGTGTGCACAAATGTATCTGTTTTACATATTTGACTAGGCTAGTTTCCTTATTTATTTACATAGATTTAAAAAAAAAAAAACACAAAAAACAACAACAAGAACAAAAACACAACACCTTTCCAATAACAGAATTGATTTGTTTATCACTTAAGGAGAACAAACAGCAGGAGTTTAATACACAATCAGATAACAGATTAGTTTGCAAAGCCATCGTGCAATTAGAGATGCTTAGGTTTAAATACACCCCTCCTCCCTACATCCCTACACCTCTGTTAGAGAAATCCATACTTGCAAGTTGTTGCAATTTAATATTGTGGTTGTGAACACAAGCAACTGCTAAAATATTTTCTTCATTTTTGGACTGACAGTTGCTCCCATCTCGGAATAGTTTGCATTATTTACAACAGAATTTTTCTCAGTTGCAAAGTAAGAGGTTGAATTCTTTTTTAAAATTGAAACAACAATTAGAAAAACAGTAGTATATTAGGCCACTTACATACAGTCCTACTCCCTTGAGGTTCTAGCTTGTCAGCAAAGTGTAATGTTTTTGAATATAGTAAGCACTTAACAAAAATCTGAAAATGGAAGAATTAACTGAATGGAACTTTGAACAAAATCACACTACCTTCACTGCCCACTGGAAATAATAACCACTGTATTGTGTTTTTTTTAATAGATCCTTTGTGTTCTTCCTTCGTTTCTTCATATGTATCAAGGAGACAACAATTTCTATTTGGAAATGTAGGATGTAAAATATAAGTGGGGCTGTTAGCAACGCTTGTATTTTGTTTTTTAGCTGACAAAACAGCATGCATTGTTTTATTTAATTAAAATTCAAATAAACTATTATAGAATAGTTATCCAGAACTCATGGAGTAACCGAAAGAAAATAAAAAAACATGAATAAAAATGGACATAAATAATGAGGATCTTTAAGTGTAGTTCACAATTATTAGTAAATACATAACATATTTCACTTTCCTATTTCTTAGACACTTTTCAAGCAGAAACTCTTTTGTACATGATGGTATAATAGCTCTTGGCTATGAAAACAGTCAACTTACTGAATGAAATCTAAGTTCAAATGTAGAAATGCACATAAAAGGATAAATGCTCATTTTTTAAACAATTCCATGAGTACGTGAAGATAAGATTAAAGAAAAAAAGAACTGCTACATCTTCATCTTAACCTTCAACATTACAGACAAAGAGTATTTTCTGCCACATCACAGATCTCATTCTGTTATTCTTTGATCTAATATTTAGCATTGTTTCTGGATGTATGATCATGTGATTCCTACTTTCTACGTGGCAACTAATGTAGAAACAATCTGTCAGGACTGTCATTGAGGATCAATGCTAAATGTTACTCAGCAGGATGCAGACTGTATCTCGGTGGGTGTCCTCCTACTATGCTTTGATTATGTTTGTTGTAAAGAAAAGCCTACTTGTGCTTACAGTACTCATATTTCACCCCCTCCATGAAAAACATATTACATCCTTTTGATTTGTCCCTGTTTCAACAATATAGATACTTTAAAAACATATACGCAGCATTTTTGAAGATTCCTTCGGTATAATCTGATTATAAAGGGGTTATGTGACAGTTTGTCTCTGCTACTTATTGTGTGGCTTAAATCTCTGAGGACAAGCTGACTGTACATCCACACAATTTAGAATCTGATGGCAGCTGTGGCTCAAAAATGTTCTGGAACAGTTCTAGGGTCATCTGGGGAAGCACCTTGTTGTACACCAAGGTACAGGAGGATTTTATTCTACTTATTACTTCTTATAACTTCATTAGATAGCAAAACTGCAGGCTGGCTACATAGGATAAAGATTTAATTAAACAGAGAGGTGATTTAACTTAGAGCAAGGAGGAAAATGAGATTTTAAAAATATTTTTCTGCATGAGTGTGAAGAAGTAAGTCTACAAATAGATCTTCATCTATGAACAATGATAAATAGATCAGGGTTATATATACTGAATGAGAAAAGAGGGATATTACATTGCACAGCAAGCTGATATATTGCATTTATGAAAGAATATTTTGCATAAACAGTAGGAATTTCAGAAAGCATACCTAAGTTTTCTGTGTGGCAAAAACTCACCCGTGACTTTCTGTTGCCTTATAGCATTAGCTGTATTCAATAAGGTTTTATAACACTGGTGCTCTGTTAAACTTCCAGGCATGAACGAATACATACCAAAAGACCCTACCATGTGAATGGAGCTGACAAGTACTCTCAAGATGATGATCTGGTAAATCTAGAAGTTCTTGATGAGGTACTGTGTTTTCTGAGCATCAGTTTCCAATCTCTCTGCCTTACATTTTCCCTGTTTCTGTTCTTTAGGCTTCTTTTAACATAATGATAAGTGCTTCTTCATGGAAGCTTTTGTTTCAGCATGGAAAAGGAGTTGTCTCATAATCTATCTGCTATCAACATTTCTTTAGTAATAGTCTATTTAATAAGGTAAAAGCAATAGATGTGAATCCTATTCTGTGGAAGTGGTTAAATATGAGTGATACATTGAGTATCTATACATGAGTGAATATTTTCTGAGTTTACTAAAATGGAAAGTTTAGTAATGAAGATGTAGATTGATGTGACTTTTCTAAAACTGATGAGTATACATAGAGCATCTACAGCTTCTGAGTAAAACATGGTAAAACAACATCAGCTGCATATTTCGTTATATCACCTATGTGCAGAGTATCTGTAAAAAATTTTTCTGAGAATCCTTAACTTGCATGCCAGTAAGAAAAATACATAATAGCAAATTATTTTAGCATCCTGTTTAAAACAGCCTCTTACTACTAGTAAAAAAATTAATCATTAAAAGATTACTATCCTTGTTTCACGATCAAATAAAAATTCAATGGAAATGTACTGGGAAGTGCAGAAGCAATGGCTATTTTATCTTCAGAAAGTTTACTTCTTGAACTGATGAAATAAAGTGCAAGCTAATCTGGTAGAAGGATGTGCCATTTAACTTAGTTTTATGGCTCTAGTGAAAAGTTTGAATTTTTTTTTTTATTTTGTGATATTGGTGTTTGAGAAATAATTAGTAATACTTAATGTACAAACCTCTTAATTGATGTTATTAGTATATTTACAAAAATCTCACTGACTGGGAAAATAGTGCTTAACAAATTTTTTGTAATCTCAGGATACAATTATCCATCAGCTGCAGAAACGCTATGCTGACTTACAAATTTATACATATGTTGGAGATATTTTGATAGCCTTAAACCCTTTCCAGAATCTCAGCATTTACTCTCCACAGGTAAGAGAGACTTGAAGATGTTTACAATACTTTACATTTTGTAATAACACTACTTGCTAAAATACTCACACAATGGGAATACAGTTGAAACCACAGTCTTTTCTTCCTCCAAAAAACTATGTCTGTAAATTGTTTTCTATTTTTACTTTTAGTCGTGTTTGATTTAATTGCTTTCTGCTTGGTGACACAAATTCCATAGGAGTGCTAAGATTGCCCCACTCACAGCTGTTCCTCTTGTCTGGCATTTAGGGCTTTCTTCTGGGAAACAGAAGTTATATGAACTACCTCATGCTGAGTCTGTTGCTTTCTAAACAATTGCTCTGACTGATTATTACATGTCCTGTGCCATCAGTTGTGGCTTAAAAGAAATCAGTGAATTGAATGCTGTAAAGATAGAGACAACTGAATTCTCTATGAATATGAAAAGTGGTGAAGCCATAAATCTTAGTCTCCATGGGTACCTAAGTCAGGGCTGCAGGCAGAGGAACAGATTCCAGCTTCTCTTTTATCTTTGCAGTTTCTTTGGTAATATCTGGATATTTCCCTGCTTAAATGCTTCGGTTTGAAATTATGTTCCTTGTGATCCAGGTCTCCTCACCATGTTGTAAAAGAAATGTTGGAAAACATTGGCAGTACCAAGAATTACCACTCTTTAGTCAGAATTTTTCAATAGAACAGGCAACTACTGACCTTGTGGGATGGCAGAAGAAGATACTCAGTATTCTCCTTATCAGATCTTAACTGTATGGATAAATTCTGTATTTTTACTGTTTTGTTTTTTTTCTTAATCTAGTTCTCCAAGCTTTACCATGGTATGAAGCGCTCATCCAATCCCCCCCACATATTTGCCTCTGCCGATGCTGCCTACCAAAGTATGGTGACATTCAGCAAAGATCAGGTAAAAATATTAATTTTGTTTTAGATTTCACATTAATCATACTACCACTTTGCTATGGATATAACTAAAGTTTGGTTATGTTGTGCTTTGAGAGTTTTTTTCTGTAAGCCTTTTATTCCTGTATATGAAAAACAGCAAAATCTAATTGGGACTTTTGAAGAGAACATAGCAACATAAAAGATCATATACAAGGTTAACTAGGTCAAATAGAAGTGTTACCTAACCTTATAGATTCCTGCACACCCATGAAGCACTGGCAGTTGACACCAGTCACAGGCTGTTGCAATACGTTTTGATTCTAGCCTGTCTTGCTCTAGATACTGTAATCATTTACACCTGTGTAAAATAGGGGAGTCTCAATACTTCAGCAGGTTAACAAAGTTTGAACTGCTCTTCCACTGCATAAAGTAGAAAGCAATTTAATAAGCAAGGAAGAAATGTAATGAGTATGCACATCCTGCAGTTATTTTAATGAGAATGAAATATTTTGCTGTAGAAGTTAGTTTCCTTTTTATTTCATTCTTAAAATTGTAATTTTGCACTCTTTCTAACATGATGTGTTGGATGTACATGAATACTGGGACCTAATAATGATTATGTATTGTTATCTGGAGAAAAAAATCAATTTTGTCATCAGCACATGAGGCTAACTTTGTAGATTTTTAATATAAAATATCCTCCCTATCTTCTTAGGCAGTAATTTGCATTTAGATCTAAATCTTTATGCAAAGATAGCTAATAATTACTCGTAGGCATCCAGGCATGCCTGCTAGCTTATATAGTTTGCTATTTGCAGTGGTTTTTATCTCCATTAACTGAGAAGTTATGCAGGTTCTTCAGGTAAAGATGCACTAGATGCCCAGTGTAGCTAGACAAAAAATGTATTTATTCTGTTTGTTTATCCATTCAGCCTTCCCTTGTATTTTCCTTTGAAGCCTGAAAATTGACTGTATATCTAACATTTCTGGGGAATCTCAAGTCATGTTCTGACTAGTATGAGTCATGCAGGAACTTATGGGCTTTAAACTGTATAAACTGTTGTATGTGACTTCCCTGTTAAGGTAGATTAAGACAATTTCAGGTAACACAAACCTATAAATACATTGCTGTTTTATTTGTTAACAAAAAAACAAAACAAAAACAAAAACAAACAAACAAACAAAAAAACAAACAAACAAACAACAACAACAAAAAAAAACAGAAAACTATTCCGGGATAATGGATTATCTTTCTCTGGGAGTGTAAAAATGTTGTCTGGAGAAATGTTATCCCTTTCAAACCATCACAAACCTTAGTTCTGTGTCAGTCATCACTGTATCAAGTATTCTAAGACCTTGTCTCTTTTCCCAGCAAAATCTTTTATGTTTACTGTGTAGTCCAGGTAACTTCAAGCTAATCCCTGAGTTTGTAAGCCTTTGGAAAACCTATAAAATACTGTGTGATATATACAGTCTGCCAAATCAAGAAGAATATGGACATGTTCTCCCAGAATCACTCAATGAACATACACATATTTTTCTGAAATGTTTAGGTTTGTTGTTTTAATCTGAATATCAGCATCATGTACATGATGATCTCTATGCAGCAATAGACCTTATGATAGTTTTCAGTGCCAGGAGCAAACTTTTGGTTAGTGTATTAAATACAGCTTTACCTTGGTTTTCCATTGATTTATATGAACTCAATGAAATGAGCTCAGATGCACTGATAATTAAGTCACGTGAACTAGCTGTGGCAATCTTTTGATTTTTACAGGCTGTGTATGTATGCATAGCATTAATTAGCTTTGTAGATAAGGTCATTCCTTTCTATGTCTTAGAGCTTAGAATTTTACTCACTTCTTCTCATGTACACATTTCTGTCAGGCATTGCAAGATAAAGTTTATAGAATCATAGAATAGCTTAGGTTGGGAGGGACCTCAAACCCCAATTTTAGTTATCTAAGGAATAAGGAAATGATTGTGGAGAGCCTCTACTGACCTTTCAGAAAGGACTTGAGAGATCTGACTCCTAAGATATTTTACAGTCTTGGTACTAATCATTAAGTAACAGATAGGAGCAGAAACAGGTGAAAATCTATTTATCAACCATGTGGTGAATTGTACACTTACTGTTTTGTTTGTATGTTCAGTGCATTATCATCAGTGGGGAAAGTGGTGCTGGAAAGACAGAAAGTGCCCATTTGATCGTCCAACATTTGACCTTCTTGGGAAAGGTATTTCTAGCAATCATGTAAAACAATGAATAAATGCTCCCCACTCCCTAGAGTTTCCACTTTATTAAATGTTTAATATTAAAAATTGTTCTTGTGAATTAACCCACTTGAGTCAGGGACAGAGTAATCAAGCATTTGTAAGCACTAAATCATGCCATTAGAGTATGACCTGCACCAAGCCATTTCAGTGCAGGAGAAAGTGACAAATTCCAAATGTTCAGTGCTGTAGTTATCTGCAGTGTTAATGGCCTATGACATTCTTTATGTATACAATAAATAACAGATCTTGCTTTGACACTGATCTTGGAAGCTCTTATGTTCTTAAATGTTATGAGTAATGCTACTACTGCAAAATAGTGTAGAAATCAAGTATGTAAGTTTAACAGGTGTATGTATTAGTATGATTGTTGTCTTAGGTAATATTCTTTTTGTTCAGTTTTTGGTGGCTTTGTTGCCTTAACTAAATTATATGAAGCTTCAGAGATAAAACAATTGTAGAGAAGGAAGAATATGGTTTTCCTTACCTGTAGGTGTTTTCCTCTTCAGTATATGGCTTTTATTATATAGATAGGAAGGTTAATGGAGTATCTAACTCCATAAGAATGGGATAATGGGATATTATGCTTCTTAAGCAGGGATTGGATTGTGAGTAGGCAATATATTCTTTTAATGGTCCTTCTGATTTATATCTGTTCTGTCAAGGCCAATAATCGTGCTTTGCGTGAGAAAATTCTTCAGGTGAATCCTCTGGTTGAAGCATTTGGGAATGCCTGCACTGCCATCAATGACAACTCAAGTCGCTTCGGAAAATATCTGGAAATGATGTTTACACCCACAGGAGCTGTAATGGGGGCAAAGATTTCTGAGTATCTACTTGAAAAGTCAAGGGTTATAAAGCAGGCTGTGTAGGTGCACTGATCATCTGTCCTTTTTTGTAATGTTTAGATTCTGTTTAATTCTCTAAAACTTTTATTTAAGTGCTTCCAACACTTCCAAGTGCTTCCTCCTGCTCTCCTGCTGAAGCAATAAACCTTTGTGCAGTACGATTAATGACAAGAATAGTTTGGTTCTTTTGGACCAAAAGCCAGACCTGTTCTATTTTTTTTTTTTAGAAACAATGTGATTTTCTGGATTTTCTGTTTTACAGCTGAAATAGTTATCTTTGGGCTTCCATTAGTATTGGCCCTGATCATTTGCCACCTGTCTCAATGAGCTAATGATAAAGACTTTTGCTTTTACCTTGTACAAGATACTGCAAGTATAAACATATGTGCTTTATAGATCTGCTTTTCTTTTTCTAGGGGAGAGAAAAATTTCCATATATTTTATTATATTTATGCTGGCCTTTATCATCAGAAGAAACTTTCTGAATATAGGCTTCCTGAAAAAAAGCCTCCTAGGTAACTATCAGTCACATGTTTTAAGTACTCATTATAAGTATCTATTGATCAGCTCTTGCTTTCAGTATGATTTCTTCAGGTCTGTCGTAATCCTTCTGTATCCCTGAAGGATTTTTTTTTTAATCCTATCAAGCATAAAAAAAAAAAAAAAAGAAAAAAGAAAAAAGGATGGACAATAAGGAATTACGGTATTTGTATTAAAAACTTGAACCATTTAAGGAGAAGGAAGAAATATTACTGTATAAATATTTTATCATATGTTCAGATCAGGACAGTTACCCTGTGCTTTCTTGCAGTTCAGGAACTCCAAATATGTTTTGAAGTTGTGTTTTTTAATTGGTATTTGTACCTAGAGAGCACCTGGTCTATATCATTCTATATTGGTTGAGAGCATGCAGGTAAAATGTTAGTAACACTATGAACAGATTATTAACAAAGAATAAGCAAAAGTGACTGCAACAAAAACAAAAACGCCTTATGAATTAGCACTAAAATATTTAATTGAAATATATAAATAAGTGTTTTTTTCAATTAATGATGTAGTTGCATTATAGTCACTGTAGGTTGTTCTGACTTATCACCTACTTAGTGCTTTCTTTCTCTCACTCTGTTTAGATACATTGATAATGAAACTGGAAGAGTAATGCACGATATTGTTACTAATGATTCCTATGGAAGACAATTTGAAGCAATTCAGCATTGCTTTAGAAGTATAGGATTCACTGATGAGGTAAGATATCCAGTTGCTAAACCACTGCTGCCTTTCCTGAAAACAACCTCCAGTGCTGCTTGTGCTTAGGCTGCCATTTGGCTGTGTGAATACACAGCATGCCACAGAATCTCTCTTATAACAGAAATGAATTATGAAAGTAAAACCAAACACCTGGAAGCCAGGACCAGTCAGAGGTCTCAGTTTGTAGTTAGGCAAGTCCATTCACAGTTCTATAGAATCTTCTTTCTGTGTAAATAACAGCTTCCTTGAATTAGAACTTGGTCTTAGGACGATCTACAAACATTAATCACCATCCGATGCTCACCTTTGTCTTTCATGAACTAAGTTTGATGTACATATTTGACTGGATTCCTTGAGGGTGCTTTTTGTCATTTTTACAGGAAGTGTATTCAGTGTACAGAATTCTGACTGGTATCTTAAATACTGGAAACATTGAGTTTGCTGCCATTTCTTCACAACACCAAACAGATAAAAGTGAAGTTCCAAACCCAGAAGCCTTAGATAATGGTAACTACATTTTAACATGATCAACTCTGCAAATGCCATTACACTGTATTTGTGAGAATCTGTAACTTGTGGTAACAGGCTATGCTAGTGATGTCCTCAGAATAGTCATAATTTATATATATATTCTACACTGTCTTTCAGCTGCTGCACTGTTAAGTATTGGGTCAGAAGAACTGCAAGAGGCCCTAACCTCCCACTGTGTTGTAACACGGGGGGAGACTATTATCCGAACAAACACTGTGGACAAAGCAGCTGACGTGCGAGATGCCATGTCTAAAGCACTTTATGGCAGACTCTTCAGCTGGATCGTAAATCGCATTAATACGCTTCTTCAGCCAGATAAAAATATATGGCAAGTTACACATCATTGAATCATTTGTATTTACTGTGCATATGTCTTTGATGGGTTCATCCATTTGTATATATTTTGATTTTGCAGAAGAAATGCTGTGTTTATTTTGGCTAAGGCTTCAAGATGGCTTTCATGCTGTGATACTGAATTCTGTTTCCAGGACATTAACCCAACATTCTCAAAGAACTGAGTGAAATTTAGCTACTGAAGTCAGTGGAAATTGATGATTAAAATTATGTAAAATTCTTTAAAAAGATGCTTTGCATGTAGAGAACATTAAAATCATTCCAATGGCCAGTAAGTATTTGAAGTACTCTGAAAACATTCGTATGTTTGCAGAGTCCTTCCAGTACTTCTGTCATTGTAATTTAGTAGTAAATACAGATTGAGTTGTAATTGATGGTGTTTTCATTGTCAGGTAATGATCTGGTCGCTTTGCTCTTTTCAAACAGCCCTAGAGATTTCTAAAAATAAGAGAACCCCTTAGGTGATGTAAAAATGTTTTTACTAACTACAGTACCCCTGCTTCCATGCTGGGAGACTGGATAAAGCAAGGAGGAAAACAATGCTGTAATAGAACATAGAATATGGGGAATAATTATTGCAAATATAACTTAAGGATGCTAGTTCTGAATTCCACTACAGGTAATTTCACTCATCCTTGGCAGCACTGAGATAGAGAAAGGCATCTTGAGACACCTTTTAGACCTCCAGTTCCCCTTCATTGTACTGAATATAAACAGTTGCTATTTCTGACTGTAACCTGAGTCTCTTTGTTTTATGCAGGAGCCAAAGTGAGAAGTTTAGCATATAGCATTCTCCCTTTCAGAGCATGTCTGCATGACATAATGTGTTGTTATATACAGACAGACTGTGAATGAACCTATATATTGCATTATTAATGTAATTCTGTGCCTAGGCACCAAGTTAATAGGTTGTACTTTTTCTTGTCTTAGAGATAGCTTGGAGATCCCTACTTGCACTATTTTATACCATGGAGTAACACAATCCACACTTGCATTTCCAGTGGTTACTGTTGTCTGAGTATACATAATCTAGCAAGCTAACACATGGTGTTTTAATAATCCTCCTGTAGCAGCAGCAGATTTGATAATTGTCTTGCTGACTGGGTATAGCAAAAACATGCTAATAGAGCTTGGCACCTTTCCTCTACCTGGAGGATCTGTCAGTAGGTTTGGTTCAGGATGTGTTTATTGGAACCACTTATTTTAATGCATTTCTGAAGTCTGTTATTAAGTAGTTGTGATTCTCTTTTTCTTCTTCATGGGAATTTGTAAAAGACAAATGGAAAACCCATTAAAATACACTTTTTCTTCTCTGTTTTTGCAGCAAATTGAATTGATTGTGCTATCTTAGTTACCATGTTTACTTTGATTGTAACTAGATGTTGCCCATACTGAATTTTGTTTGACTTTTCACGTGCAGCAATACTGAAAATGGAATGAATGTTGGTATACTAGATATATTTGGATTCGAGAACTTCACAAGGAATTCCTTTGAACAGCTATGCATAAATATTGCTAATGAGCAGATCCAGTTTTATTTCAATCAACATATTTTTGCACTTGAACAGGTAAATTCAGCTCTCATGAAGTTTAGTTGAATCTGTCATCTTGACCCATAGATTATATTCAGGAATACATTATAAACTATAAAATGGTTGTGGGATTTAAATATATGTAATGTTCACATCTTTCAGCATAGTTGTTGCTGTTTCATAAATAATGTTGCTGGGGCCTATAGAGTATTCCTATGCATCATAAATGTCCTGGTGGTTCAATATTTAAACTTTGTTGACTTTGTAGATGGAATATCAGAATGAGGGAATTGATGCTGCTACAGTGGAGTATGAAGACAACCGTCCACTTCTAGATATGTTCCTCCAGAAACCCATGGGTCTTCTTTCTCTACTAGATGAAGAAAGTCGATTTCCTCAGGCAACAGACCTAACATTAGTTGGTATGAGCGAGCAATAGTCCTGGCAAACAACTAATGTATTTTGAGAGCCTGGTGTGATATCTTTACTTAAGCTTGTCTAGTCTAATTGTCCAACTGAGGCTGTGCCATTCTGTTTGACAGTTTGAGTGTGTTTTTCATTATGCTTCACCATGCTTCTATGCTTCACATGTTTTTTATATTGCAGAAGTTATTTTACATATCTTGTGTCAAGAGCTTGTCTTTTCAGTGTTTTAAGGAAATAACCTCTGTGTTGTCCCTGTACATGAGGTACATCAAGAGGCTTTTATCAGCATTTAAAAGGAAAAGCTGAGACATAGCAGAACTTGTATCTAGGACCACCCTGTGAGTTATCATTAGTGTCGAGAGTAAAACTAAGATCTCCCAGGATTGCAGGCCCATGTTTATCCAATTAGAAAATATTACTTCACTGCAGATTATCTCATCATAACTAGAAAGTGTGTGTTATTTTTTGTGTGCCATCTGGCTGAATATTTCCCTTCCTTCATGCATAGTTTACGCATGTCTTAACAAATTTGGCACAAACTTTAAAACATGTAGTGCATGTTATGTTTAAAAATGTTTTCCTGCTTTTATTTACTAGAACTTCATTTTTCCTTGTAGTACGTAACAGAGTTTCAGTTTGTTCAATCAAACATTGCAGCAGGGATTCAAACACTTAGAGAAAAATTACAACTGCCTGGTAAATTGCATGATATATGTACAAGATTTTTCACTTCTGGGCTGCTACTTGAAATGAGGCCAAAGAATGAATGCTGTGATTTCATTCCAGTCCTTATTTGTGAGCTAAAACTGTGAGCCTCCCTGGGGATCCTATAAAACTATTAATCTCAAATATTGAACTTGCACTTTCAAAGTGTCAGGGAGAGCAACTGAGATATTTTGCCCACTCTATATGTGCCAGACCATCCCTAATTCCCACCCCCCCAACTCAAAATCTGCCCCCTCTCCTGTCCTGCAACCTGCCAAAATTCTGAGTTTAATTCTTTTTGATTTAATTTACAAGGATTCTCAAACTCAATTAAACATTAGTAGAATGAAAACATAGAAAGAAAATTATCAGAAAGAAAATAAAACGTTAATGGATTATAACATCAGAAAAAAAATATTTTTGTATTGATGTCTCACCTACACAAAGCGAAAGAAACTTTTATCAATTGATTCTGGCCATGAATCTTTAGTTGCATGTGCAGATAAGGAAATACAATAGCAAGTTTTACAGTATCAGCATTAGTTCCTTTTTTCTGCAGCACTTCAGAGGTATGTTGCAAGAAACAGAAAAATTTTGGAGAGAAGCCTTTTTTTTTTTTTTTCTGTAGGCATACAAAGGCAATTGGGATATGGTCCCAGATACTGTATTATACTTAAAACATGATGCACAAAGCAAAATAAATGGGGAAAGGAAGACAGGAAAAACAGAAATAACCACTTAGGCAGGCTAGATCAATGCACAGATCTGAATGTACATAGTTGAAATAAATCTGCCCCAAAATTTGCATACACATATGTACACATATATATGTATATATATACACACATATATGTGTGTATATGTATATGTGTGTGTGAAGAAATTTCAATACAAAATATGAGAAATCCTCGTCCCCTCTCACTGTTCTCTATTTCCGATGCACAAAACTCTGCAAGAACAGGGATTTGAAGTACCTTATTACTGGGCTAGTTTTGAATGAGTTCTTCCATCCAGTAGTAGCAGCTTGGAAGAAAACATGAAGATGGCACGTAGTTATTACTGGGTAATCTGACAATAGATGTTCTTATAGTAGTTCTGAGTTCTCAAGCAGGAAGCAGGCCTTAATTAGGATCAAGATTTTACTTCATCACTGTAATTCTTTTTTAATCAACTTCTCAAATGTTTAGATAAATTTGAAGATAACTTACGATGCAAATACTTCTGGAGACCAAAAGGAGTGGAATTGTCATTTGGTATTCAGCACTATGCTGGAAAGGTGAGGTCGTGTGATTTTTATTTAGTTAAAATCATAGTTTTGTACTCTTAGTTTTAACCAGTTATTGCTTTTTCCTCTCTTTAATAGACAAAATGATAAAGTTTTAAGAAACAAAGAATCTATGATAAAATTTCTGTGTGAAGTAGTCCATTCTAGAACCTATCCTTAGGACTCTATTAAAAATTAGATGGACAGAAGCCACCTTTTGTTCTGAAAGAAGTCTGGCACCAGAAACACCATCACTACAATATTTTTAAAGGAACAACTCTGGAACCAGTACAGGCTATGTAATTTTTAACATTCTGTGAATGCCACAGTTGTTCTGTCTGTGATCATATATACATACATGTTCGTGTAAAGACAATGTGTAATGGTGTCTGCAATAGAACTTAAAATCCCACAGAGATCATTGGAAAGACTGAATAGTATAATTTTTTGCTAGCACAGATGACTTTCCATACTCCACAGCACCTATCTTGCTCTCAGCAGTTCACCTATTACTTTATATGAGAATAATTGTCCAATTGTTTCATGTAACATGAGCTATGCTTGTGAGGTGCATGAATCTTCATTCACAAATAAAGTGAAAATAAAATATCAGTGTTGTATTTAGTTGTTAGTAAAGTCTGTTCTATGGCTCATTGTAAAGTGTCAAAAATGTTATGATATGCTCTAGTAAACTTAGTCCAGCTTTCTGGCCTGTTAAGAATAATTGTAACTGTATCATTTCATACAAATTTAATAAATTCTTTGTCCCCGAATGGCCAAGTCATAAAAACATGACTAGTTGTAAAAGTAAACACTCAATTTCTCTGAAAACACAAGGACTCCAGTGGAATTGGGCTAGAAAGGAATATTGCTGGTAATAATAAAACCAGTTTAAATATTACAGCAGCTTTCTTAAAGAAAATAAAGAAGATTAGAGGAAAAGTAACAGATTCATATATGATAACAAATAGCCAGGCATTAATTTCTATAAAATATAAGAAAAGTAATTTTTTAAAAAGCAAAATAAAATTGTCTACTGAAGCATTAGGTAGTAAAAAATCAAAACTCATGTGCCCTAGCACACGGAAAGAAATGATGAATGTTTAGTTTTTCTACTAACATTTTGGAAGTATTAAGAAGCCTTTTTAACAGGCTTCTTGATAGTGAGCTACATCTGAAACTTACTCCTTTTGCCACAACAGAACTAGTTACCAATCAGTTTGGTGCAAGCAATAAATAAATTTTGACTGCCTGGGAACCATTTCTTATTTCACGTGTAAACTGTCAACTTAAGTTTTAACAAGGTATCTCTGTTATATTATATTCTCACATCCCATTGATGTGACAAACCATAATATAACATGACTAAAACCCAGTTTAACCCAATTTGATCTGTACTGACATGTGATTAATGCAAGTGTTTTTGGTTTGTTTTTAAAATGATTCACGTGTTGAAGACACTGTGTTAGCTGTACACTTTTAAGTCCTTTGCAGATGTTATTTTTGTGGAACACTTTCTGGCTACATATCTGATCCTGTTTCCCATGCTAGGTATTATATGATGCCTCCGCATTTCTTGAGAAGAACAGAGACACTCTTCCTGCTGACATAGTGGTGGTGCTGAGAACCTCAGAGAACAAACTTCTTCAGCAGCTGTTTTCTAGCCCACTAACCAAAACAGGTACTTTCTGCAACATTTTCAGCCACCTCCTCCTTTGAAAATCTAGTTGTTTCTGGACAAACCTGAGCTTTCGAACTCTTTCTGCTATTGAAAGTTTCCTAGATATCTAAAGTGTTAAATAATAGTAGTATTGATATATTTTTTTAAATAGTATGTTGCCATAAACCCAGGAGGCAAGATTGATTCGCTGTTCCAGAGAAAGGGAGATTATATGGTTTTTAGGGCAAGAACTCATTTTAAAAACAGAATGAGAATGAGTTTTTGTTCTTTGTCCTTTCCTAAGTTCAGTTCAGTTGATATATTCTTGCATAGTATTTCTTAAAATTTCTAAATCCTGTAATGTTGGTTGTTAGTTTGGAGATAATCCCCATCTGTTTAGATTCATTGGTGCAGTACATAAAATTGTTTCTTCCAAATTTTAAAGTATGCATACTGATCTGCTAGGTTTCATAAATTTCATTTATCTTAAGCTTATTGACACTGACTTACTTCAAAGTGCACCGATCTGTGGTTAAATAAAATAGTAAGATAAAATTTGCTTTCTCCATGGATTGTTGTCAAAATACTACTGACGTGTATAAATGCAGTATACATGCCAACAAGACAAGAAATGTACGCATTAAAAATGTCAGTCAATGCTTTCCATGTTCTTAAAAGTCTTTTTTCATAATTAATAAGAAAAAGATGTAACAATAACGAATAATCCAAATACAATGTGTTGTATTAGATTGCAAAATTATTTTGATCTGATATGATATAAACAAGTGTGATGGTTGTATTTCTACCAAAAATGTTCTGGGTAGAAAAAAGTGTACATGCACTAGGTAGTGCTGTATATAGGCTGTCGGTACAGTTCAGTGCTTGTGCAGCATATCTGTCTGTGATTTCTGGAAACTCGGTAATCCAGTCACAGCCTCTGGTATTGCTCTCAATCTATCTTGAGTCTTCTACGTAGAAAAAGAACATCTGGAGTAACCCAGATATAGCAACATTATTTGCACAAGTGTAACTGATAGCAAAATATCTGTTTATATTCTACATATGATAGATTCCTACTAATATGTTATTTCCTGCAATTAGAATGCTCTGGATTATTTCCCTTCAAATTACAATTTTGGAGGACCCTTAGAGGCGAGAATCCGCTGAGGAGTCTGTTTCTCTTTTCAGGCTTGACAAGCTTAGATGAAGGGAGATGTAGGTTAAGATAGAGTAGGATAGTTTATTGCCTAAGTAGGAAACACAAATCTTTGAGTCTATTTCTTCTGACATTTGAGTCCTTAGTAAAGACTGGTAGAAAGAATTTCTTATGCTGGATGGATCAAACAAAGCTAAAAAGAAAGCTTACATTGGGTCAAATGTGCCTCACCTCCCTCTTTACCAGCCATTTTCTACCTTGGAGCTGTTGTCAGAATGAAACAGATTAGGTATTTTCTCCCAGTTATCAGTCACAATTATTGTAAATATTGTAGGTTTGATTTCATGCAAACTTATCTGCCTCTGGCTTTCTAGAGGTGCGTTCAGTGACAGCAGGACTAAACTGAGAATTTTACCCAACATGCATAAAAGGTTCAGGAAGGAAATACTTCTCATTGCAACAATGTATGTTTACCATGTTGGCGTATTACCACTTCTTCTTTTCCTTATTTCCTATTTAAATGAATGGGTGGTTTCTGCTTCCCATAATAGGAAGTTTAGCTTTCCATGGAGTACAAGAAACAAGTTGAATCTGTATTTCTCTCAAGTTCAGTATGGGACATCCTGGTAAAAATTATTATGCATATGTTCCTGTGCATGATACTTTAAGGATAACTTAAATCTCTTAGGTCATTTCTGTTTTTTTGAAAGTCTTTGTGATTTTGCTCTATTTTTTCCAGCTGTCTAATATAATTGGCACCCACATCCTGTTTTGGGGCCTCTGTGTTCTAAAATCAGATTGTTGCCAGGTTTAGTTTTGGCAGCTTGCAAGATAAATGAAAGGTTTGGCTGAGACAGAAGGTATAACTGGCAATGCTGCTTCATCTCTGCATAGTGAAGAAAGGTAATGCTATTCACTTAACTTTCTACAAAGAAGCTTTTGTAAACAAAAGAATAGTGACCATGTAAATTTCCCACCAGGCTCTGCCCTTGCCTCTAAGCCTTATTCCCTCCACTGAACATGTACTTCATTTCTAAAGCCAGAAAATATACAGATTAACATTCATGATCTCGATACAATTTTTTCAGTTTTTTGTAGATTACTGACTGATGTGAAAGTTAATAATTTACATGGAAGCCATATTGCATCCCTCCAGGTAACCCTGACTTGAAGTGAGCCTTCTGCCAGTATCTCTGGTGTTTTGTTTGAAGATGAGTGACAGCACATTCTCACATCTGCTTGCAACTAGCTCTGGAATTTGCAGCATACGTGGTTTTTGCCAAGCGGCTTTCTCTAATATGCGTAAGAGTCACTAGGTGGTGCTATCCCAGAAGCAAGAGGGAATTTGAAACTAGAACGCGGGTCTGCGAGTTACTGAAATGTAGTTCCTAAATACCAGTAAGAACAAAAAGATGCCTTTCCCACTCCGGGAAGACCTTGTGTTTGAAGTATATTTATATAACCGTCGTTTCTTCCTGTGTCAAAAACTAAGCAGCTGCTAGAAAATAAATATTAAAAAGACTAAGTTCTTACACTAATTTAAGATCACATTAATCCCTGTAATTTATCAAACATACTTATCCTCACTTAACAAATGCTTCTGTTTCACAGTAGAAGACTGTGTCGTTTAAAAGGCCAGAAATTAACAGCAGGACTTCAAATGCACATTTGTAATAGCATTTATGGTTAAAAGAGTGCAGAATTAGTGATATAGATGTCAGAACTTAAACATTCCAGGATTAATTTTATAGATTGCCTAGCTTTTTTTTTTCTTCCTTCCGTGGAAAAGTAGGTGCATTGAGTGCAGTTTGGAGTCTGATTGTATTTTCGGGGTCTGAATGAACATACTCTTATTTAACCTCCCAGTGCTGAGGATTCTGTATATTCTAAAACTAGAATGAAATTTACTCCAAATATTAAAGAGAAATAGAGCATTTAAAAAAGCCTGCCACTACTCCAGTTGAATAGGCATGTTTCCATTTATAAGGCATTCTTGTTTGTAGTGTTGGTTTATTGCTGTCACAGCTAAAGCGTCAGAGAGGAAAGAAACCATGCAATCTATAGAAGAGTCCACTTGAAAGAGAAGAGGGTTTAATAGAAAAGATTAAGGGGAGCCCTGGTACATTCACTACCAGTATTAGTAGTGGTGAGGAATCAGGCCATCTGACTCCGTTCTGATACTTCAGAATTTTTGCAGTATCACGTTTAAATGCTGATATCATTAGAGTGCTTGAGGTTTTTAAAAACCCGGGGGTCTTTGTGACTATAGCTCCCTCCTCTAATTTTTGCGCTCACTTTATGTTCCCCAACTGATCTGACTGTGGGGAGGTAGGAAGGTGCAGGCTTCTCAGAAAAGTTGTAGCACATCATTCTCTACTTTTGAAATGTAATCCCTACAGACTTTTTTCCCCTCTAAAATTCATGGACCCTTAGAGCTTTTGTCACGGTGACTCTGTTCTAGCTTAGATCCTTGCTGAAGAGATGGAGAGAGTTGCCACCTGGAGGGAGGAAAAGAAAAATACTCCAGCCTTCCACCCCCAGAACAGAGTCACAACAGAAACGTTTCTGTCACAGTTCTGACGCTGTGTAGGGATTGGGCTTGGCTGTGTCTATTGGACTGAGCTGAGCACCAGTACTGCTATAGCAGCATCACCTCTGGTGCTTTTAGTAACATTGGGTGTTGCTCACACAATCAGAGTGTACAATTTATATATCATGCAAGGTTAATACGCTCATCTTGCTCAAAGTCCCTAGATACGTGAGCTAGAGAACTGAAAGTTTTCAAAACCTTTACCATAGAGTTAAGATATTTTAACAAGGGAGAAGCCCTCAGACAAAAAGTAATGATAAACAATGCATATCCCATTAAAAAAAAAAA